CTCTAGATCCACCAATGTTGTCTCATGTTTCATATCAAAATAAAAAGTTTGTGCAGGAGCGAGATAAAGAGCTCGCTGTTGTTCAACGTGCTATGTTGAACATCACAGGCCCATTAAGCACATTACATGACCGTTTAGAAAACAACCTTCCTGTTAGCCCTACTGAGCTCAAGTTGCTTGTTGAACAATCCCTTTGTTTAGTTGGTTCGGCTAACTCACAATTATCGGTACTCCGCCGCAAGAAGGTACTTGCATCCATTAACAAATCAAAAATTGATTTGGCAAACCAGCCATTGCCAAACGCTCAACGATGGCTATTTGGGGACGATTTTCCCTCAATTGCATCTAAGGAAGCCGAGCTATCACGGGGTTTGGAAAAAAATCTGGCTCCTACGGCCCCCAACTGATTTATAACCAAGACCCGAAACAACCAAGCAGAAGTTTCTCTCAGTCTACTAAATACAATACTCAAAACAACAGGGGTCAGTTTTCTCGTACTCCCCAGTCTCGTTTCCAACGGCCCCCAAATTACCACACCACTTCGAACAGTGGCAGGTTCTGACAGCAGACCCATTTATTCTAGATGTTGTTGCCGGTTTAAAAATTCCTTTTCGTTGCGTTCCTGTTGAACAAAAAAAAATAAAAATGACTCAGGTCCGTTCAGAGTCAGAAACACCTATTTATGTACAAGGAGGTGTCAGTCCTGTTAACGAGGGGGGCAATTTGCAAAGTCCCCTTTGCCAAGTCCCCAAGAAGGACGGTGGTATGAGATCGGTTATAGATCTAAGCTCACTGAATCAATACATAGAAACATAACATTTCCAGATGGAACATCTTTCCTTGATAAAAACCTGCCTACAACAGGGGTACTACATGACAAAATTGGGCCTAAAGGAGGCATATCTTTCGGTTCTGCTGGAAAACCAAAACGTATCAGTTCAAAGCAGAAACGGCGAACATTGTGTTGTCAAATCCTGAAAATCGAGAAACCTGCATTAAGGAGCATAGCTCAACTGTTGGGGTTACTAGAATCTTACCGTCCGGCAATCTGGAAGGCTCCTTTTCACTTTCGTTTTCTTCAAGCTTTGCTTATTCGCAACCTGCACACTTCAGATCACAATTACGAAAATTCAACTTCCATGCAAACAGAAAGCTGAAATCCAATGGTGGTTTCAGAATATTATGACAATCAATGGCAGCCCAATTACGGTGCCTCCCCCGAATGTAACAATTTTTCCGATGCCTCGAAACAGAGGTGGGGCAGTCACCAGCATTTATCAAACCGAGAAGTTGTTACACATCAATATTCTCGAACTGAAAGCTGTTTTTTTTTCTAAGCCTGAAGTCTCTCTTGAAGAACTATCGTTCAATGACAGTGTCACTGAACATAACTATCATTCAATGACAGTGTCATTGAACATGGACAATTTCACCGCGGTTACTTGCATAAATCACAAAGGAGGCATCACCCGTTGCTATTACTAGAGCTGACATTATAACTGTGGGATTGGCGCAAGCAGAGAGACTTATTTGTCATAGCCCACCACCTTCCAGGGAAGATCGACATTCAAGCAGACCTCGAATCCAGGCAGTTTCTGGACAACAGCGACTAGATGATCGAGCCCAACAACTACACAACCGTTCCTGAGGAACTGTCTGACGGATCTCTTCGCCTCTCGTCTAACACGACAACTAACAAATTACATCAGTTGGAGACCAGACCCAGAGGCTCACCATTGGGATGCCTTCACGGTGAGCTGGAAGGGACTTGCGGGTTATGCTTTCCCTCCCTTCAACTTGGTCCCCATGGTCCTCAAAAGGTCTTGTCGGACCAGACAGATATCTTCTTGATAGCTCCAATTTGGCAAGCTCAGCATTGGTGTCCTCTTCTACTAAGTCTTCTGGTACAACATTAATTAACCTGTCCTGCTACCAAACAGCAAACATCTCTTGAAGGATCCAACCGACCCTTCTTAAATTCACCGATGTACCCACGTCTACATTTGGGCGTATTTCACATCTCGAACGTTAGCAAACTACTCATTTTCAGCCACTCGTAGTTCCACACGCAAAACCTACGAATCTAATTAGCAGCGTTGGAGCCGCTGGTGTTCTACAAGGCAAATTAATCCAATTTCATCAGCTTTAAGCAACGTCCTTACCTTTTTGGCGGACTCACTCGCCTCCGGTTTGGAATATAGAACCATGAATGTTCTGAGATCTGCTTTGTCATCAACCCATCCACGAATCGACGGTTATCTAGTCGGACAACATTCATATGTTGTTAACCTGATGAGAGGTGTTCTAAACAATCGACCTCCAAAACCCAGATCCCTAACGTTCACCTTGTTGACTACAAAGACAACTCGTCCAGATGAAACTGTTTCTGCGTTTTATACTTGTTTCCCAGATGACAAAAGGTGATGTCTGATAGCTTGTTTCCAACAATACATCTCAATGACGGTTGAATTTAGAAGAATTATGAAGGACCAACCTAAGTTGTTTCTTTCATTTATTATACCTCACCGAAACAATTTTATTATAGACCAATGGTATCAACACCAAACTTTGGTCGTGTTGGGTTAAACTAATTGTAAACAGGTCTTTAGACTTATTGTATCTACAGAGCTAAATAATAAAGTTCTTTTTGGCGGTTCACCATTGTAGTGTTAAACTCTACCGCTAGTATTCTCATATATTTCGACCGGAGTTCCCGAAATATAATTCGAATTATACTAGGGCTGTTCCAGCCTGCAGGTATAATTTAGGTTATATGAGGGAACGAAGGGAGAAATATATGATTCCCACCCTTATACCCGCCCAGTTCATCTCAGGGTTAAATAAGCCACAGGAGGATTATGGGACGGGTCAGATCAGGGGGTGTTGGGGTTATTGCCAGAGATTTCTTTGGGTTAAAATGTGATGTGAAGCACAGATTGGTAATGCCATACCGCTAGTATTCTCATATATTTCTCCCTTCGTTCCCTCATATAACCTAAATTATACCTGCAGGCTGGAACAGCCCTAGTATAATTCGAATTTAATAGTCTGCTTTGTTGAAGTACAACACTTTGGGTTGATCAGTTTGATCATGAATGCAGTATAAAAAATTTTTCAAATTTTTCATATTTTTTTCTCATTTTCCCCCCAAATTTTTCATTTTTTTCAATTTTTTCAAATTTTTCCCAGCCCCCACATGGGGAAACCCAATATTGATTTCCTCAGGTAGGGAATGCTACCATTTTTTGACCAAAGGTGATGTCCCTGGGGTGTGGATTTTGATAATTTTTTCCAGGAAAATGACAAATCCCCCCTCGCCCCCCGGCTTAACATTGATAGGTGCATTAATTGAGTAAGTGCTATATTGCATGACTGTGTTAATAACAACAAGCAATGAAAACTAACTGGGGTATGTTCAGATGGATTTTAACCTGGTTACTTTTTGGAAGTGTAAAACAATGAGCGTAGATGAGTTTGACTAAGTCTTAAGTAGCAACTAATTCATGTCGGATTGGTATTGATAACATCATCTTCCTACAAGACAGAATCATAAAGTATTTAATTTTAATCTGAATTTAATTACTAGTAGTCGTATTACAATACAAAAAACATAACATTTTTTAAACTTACTTGCTTGATCTCGATTGTAAGCTGTAAATGCAGAAAAAGATAAGCGGTAATATAGAAACTAACTAACAAGAAACTATCAACTAGGGACTCCCCTAAACCTAGTTATAGCCCATAGGTAGTATGAGGTAGGATTAGTCTTTCTACTAAATTTTTTGAAAAGATAAAAGGAAAACACATACGTTTTTTACAATTTATTGACTTGCGCCGTTTCTGGCCACGATTATGGCATTTTCCTAAATAAAGAAGTACATGCATGACACTTCTGACTTCAATAGGTTATGTTTAGTTAGTGGCTTCTAAATAACAAACAATGGACTGGAATATAGAATCACAAACATGCAATACCTTTAAATTTAACATTCTCTGTCGACTGACCTATTAAAAACCAATAGCCGACAATTTCAAAAATATAGTACAAAACATAATCCGAAGATTAGCATCTGGAAACCCAAAATATGAGTCAAACAAGAAAGTGAGTGAGTAATATTTCGATTTTATTACAAAATCATCATCAGACTAACTATTGTTACAATATATACATGGTCTGATATACAAGTTGGCAAGGCATGATGACATAACGGAAGTCTCAATCAGAACCACGACAGGTGCAGTGAGATGTAAGTGTGATGAAATGTGGGTGTATAGATTAAGAAAAAAACTTAAGTTCTTTGCTGGCTTTGAGTCCAGTGTTTAAACTTCATGGGTGAATGGTACTTGATATATAGAGATGCAAGCAACAAGAGAAAATTAGGTGTGCGAGAATTAATAGTGTGAAGAATTTGCGAGTTGTCAATTATTAAGTTGGGAATAAAAGTGGAAACGTTGTCAGCGTTAGTTGGGTTGTTAAGTTTGTCAAAAGCAAAGCGGCAGGTACAAAACGCAGGTTGCAAGTTGCAGGTTGGAATTTTGCAGGTTGGGGATTTTGCAGGTTGGAATTTTGCAGGTTGCCAGGAACTTTGCAGGTTGATAGTGCAAACTTAAAATTACACCACTTTTTTAGTATTCTAGTATAACTTAGTTGTGCATTTATTGCAGTCTGACTCCTTGTCGGCGCTTTTGATATCAGCCTACTCTGCTGCCATGTTCCTAGCCTCTGCTTTAAGGCTAGTGGCCATCACCCCCGTAATAACATTCAAAATGACCAGATTGGCTTGGATCTACAGGGAGACAAATGTTTTGATTGTTGCGAGGTGCCTACATGACGTGGCGGCGTTTATACTAGAATGTTGTTAAAAGTTAACTAACTCTCGAGTAATGATACGGTAATTGGGGGCTTGAGTGGACTTCTCATAAGTGGGTGCAGAGGAGAGACACCTCATTCAGGCATTTTCTGAACTGCCACCACGTCATGTAGGCTCCTCGCAACATTCGAAACATCCGTCTCCCTGAAGGTCCAAGCCAATCTGGTCATTTTGAATGTTTTCACAAGGGTGATGGCCACTCCTTAGAGCAAAAGCTAGGAACATTGTAGCAGGATAGGCTGATATCAAAAGCACTGACAAGGAGTCAGACTGTAATAAGTACACAATTAAATTATACTAGAATACTTTATAGTGGTGTAATTTTAAGTTTGCATCATCAACCTGCAAAATTCCTGGCAACCTGCAAAATTCCAACCTGCAAAATCCCCAACCTGCAAAATTCCAATCTGCAAAATTCCCAATCTCGTTCCCAGAGTATGCCTGTTCGCGGGTTAGGTTGTGGCATGACTCTGGGGCAGTGAACTCTAATAATAACTGGAAGGCTAAGTCAGGGGGGGAAGTTGAAGCCGTGCTTG